ATAAAGGAGAGATTGATAGGATATAGACAATAGATATAGAGATCAGACATAGATAAGATGGATGGATGATATAGAGATTAGATAAAATGGATGGATGGATATAGATATAGAGATTAGATAGATTAGCTATAGAAAGATAGATAGATAGATAGATAGATAGATAGATAGATAGATAGATAGATGAGAGATTGATAGATGAGAGGTAGACAATATAGAGATTCGATAGATTAGCTATAGATTAGATGGATGGATGGACGGATGGATATATAGAAAGAGGGATGGATGGATAAAGGAGAGATTGATAGGATATAGACAATAGAGATCAGATATAGATAAGGGATGGATGGATGATATAGAGATTATATAAGATGGATGGATGGATATAGATATAGAGATTAGATAGATTAGCTATAGAAAGATGATAGATAGATAGATAGATAGATAGATAGATAGATAGATAGATAGAAAGCGGGGTGGATGGATAAAGGAGAGATTGATAGGATAGAGATAGGCAATAGATATAGAGATCAGAAAGATATAGAGATTAGATATAGATAAAATGGATGGATGATATATATGATTAGATAGAAAGTTTAGCTATAGAGATTATATAGATGGATGGAGATAGGTGATGAAGGGATAGATAGATGGATAGATAGATAGATAGATAGATAGATAGATAGATGAGAGATGTAGGTAGGTGGGTGGGTAGATAAGTAGATAGATAGGAATGGAGATAAAGCTACATAGATATAACTGTTAGATTAGCTGCCCAGAGTCTTCTGGAATTTAAATTTATTAAAAACCGCAAAAGAAGAGAACGGGAGGGGGGCTCCTCTTGGATCCCAAAATGCGACCCCTCCTGCCGCCAAATCCCAAAGGGGAGGGCGGGGGGGGCGGGCCCTACAGCGCGCGGGGGCGTGGCGCGGCGGCTAATCGCCAATCAGCCGTCCGTTCTCAGGGAGAAAAAAAAAAAAAAAAAGCCCCGGATGCGGAAGCGCCGCGAAGGGACCACGTGGGCGGGCGGCAGGATGGAGAGTGACCAGCGGCGCTTCGACTCCGGCGATCTGCCGTCTCTGCGCCGGATCGTGTGCGAGCAAGGGCCCATCTCCCGTCCCGACGGCTCCGTCTCTTGGATGCAGGGTGCGCAGATGCTCCCTCCCAGCTGCTCCTCCCTCCCTCCCTCCCACCTCTTGATCTCCTCGTGGTGTTCTTTCCGGGATTTCCCCCCTCCCCCCTGGGGTGAATGGGGAAATCACCTCCTAGGATATGGACTCCCAAGTCCCATTCTCGCACGTCTGTGCGGGTCAGGCAAGGATGGGAACCGAGCCAAAGGGCATCGCGAGCTTTCCTGGAATAATTCCTTTAATTCCAGAAAATATATATATATATGTAGGATTCAATTCCTCCTCTGGGGTAGGGGGCACCAGTGGTGTTCAGAGGCACGCAGGGCCTTCTTAACAGCATGATGGGCCCCCTACGACAACTACTCTCAGGAATAAAAAATGTAAACGGTCGATAAAGTTAAACGTATATTTATTTTATTAGCACTTCCAACAAATAAATAGGCAATAAATACGTTGCTGTATTTATGTGATACAAGGTGCATTTGAAGGGTTAACATACACAGATTAGTACAGGGCACGCATAAGCACACCAGCATGCCTACCGTCACTCTCCTACCGTTCCCATTTATTTGTACTCATTTATTATGTATATACTTATACCTGTTTATACATTTTTCCCCCTTATTTATTTTTTTAAAAGCTCAACATTATAAATATGTTACCCTCAGCCAGCTTCCGTTGTGTGCATAAACCTATGGGCGTAAAAAAAAAATTACAACACTGGATTTAGATTTGACTGGCATAATATCCCTTCTCTTTCCTTAATCCTGGCTGACTGTAATTTCCATAACTATCTTATGCAATCATTTTGGATGAAGCAATACCGTTCTAAGAATTAAAAAGAGAAATGCTTTGCGGAAAAAAAGGTACCTTAGTAGCCGAACATTGTGGGACAAATTTTCCCACAAGCTTCCACCCCGTGGCAGCGCCCCCAAAGGGAGGGCGGAAGGCAGGGTGTCTCCCCTGCGCATGGCCTGGTCAGCTAAAGCCACGGAAGGCTTTGCCGAAAGCGATGGGTGCTCGACCACCCCAGCAGTGGCCTAGGTGGGGGGCAGGATTGCCAGTAACAGCAAAACTTCCCCTGGAGTAGCTGTTTATACTTACATGCTTATATGTTATGTTCATACTTATACTTGTTTCTCAGACATGCTTGACAAACTGGAGGCATGTTGGGGTTAGGTAGGTGTCATGGCTGATTTCTGGAATTCAAGAAAGATGGTTTTAAACCAGGGGAGTCTCCATCCTTGGCCCCTTTGAAGACTTGTGGACTTCCACTCCTAGAATCCCCTAGCCAGCATAGTCCACAAGTCTTAAAAGGGGCCAAAGTTGGAGGCTCCCCTGGCTTAAAACCATTTTTCCCCCCTCAAATGTGACCGTTTAAGGATGTGTGGACTTCAACTCCCAGAGTTTATTAGGATTGCCAAAGTTGTCTTTTGGAAAACGGTCCCCAAAGTGCTTTTGTTTTCAAGAGGCAACTTGAAGTTTCTTCTGGGTTTCCTATGAAGATGTTTCGCTTCTCATCTGGGAGGCTTCTTCAGCTCTGAATAGTGGGGAGCGGAAAGGTTCGCGTGCAAGAAGCGGAAGTTTCTTGGATGAGGAGTGAAACGCCTTCAAAGAAAACTGTCAAACTGTCTACCGTGGACCTCACCCCATTCCTCAGAGGTCCTTAAAGGGGGTGTGCATAAGCGCACCAACATGATTACCGTCCCTTGTTTTACTGTCCCCGTTGATCTGTATTTACTTCCTTTGTTTACGTTCATACTTACACTTTTATATTGACAAACAAATAAAATTAAAAAGAAAAATCAAAAGAAACTCCAGTTGCCTCTTACCCCCCCGGTTGTTTGGGACAACCGTGACTTGAGAATCTCCATAGTCCTTTGGATAACTGTTTTGCTACATCCTTCTGCCCCAATTATTAGCAATTCGTATTTATACTGCAGGCCAATCTCCAAACCCAAAAGGGAGATTTAAGAGTAGATATTTTCCTGTAATTCTATTCATTTTCTATAATTCAACTGAAGTAGCGTGCTTAGAGCCTTCCTTTTATTTTCAGGGGATACCTCTGTGTTAGTTGGGGTGTATGGACCCACAGAAGTGAAGGTCAGCAAGGAAATCTACGATAAAGCAACTCTGGAGGTGCTGCTAAGGCCGAAAGTGGGCCTCCCAGGTGAGGGGACCCTGTGTTAGAGATCCCCCTGAGAGGTTTTTTTTGTCTGCTGATGTTGGTGGTACAATATGCATGTATTATATATTATATATTATATATAATATATTTTATATTATATATATTATGTATATATATAAGTATATGTTATAATAGTATATATGTACATAATGTATTATGTATGTAATGTACATATGTATGTATGTGTATCTCTGCCTTTATTACTTTTACAAATAACTTAAGGTGACAAACATATCCCACACGCCTTCCTCCTGTTTTCTCCACAACAACCTTGTGAGGAGGGTTGGGCTGAGAGAGAGAGAGAGTGATTGGCCCCAAATCACCCAGTGGGCTTTCATGCCCAAGGCGGGACTAGAACTCACCGTCTCCTGGTGAT